GTTGTAGGACAACTAATCAAAGTTAACAAACTTCCTGTTGGTGGTGCCAGGGACCAACCCTACTGGTGTACATGTGTGTAAGGTCTCGTACAGACATACGCCTTGGCCCTAGAGGTTTTAACAAACGTGTTGCCAGGGCTGGGGAACTGCTGCCCCGATTTTAAAACTTATCCCTGAGTCTCTTCCCTCTGGGAGCCGCCTGGAGGAAGCCCGGCCCAGCCTTTAGCACTTTGCCGTGCCGGTAAACAGTCCCCGCAGTAGGTGCCGCTTGGTGTCCTGGCGGCCGGCTGGCTTACCGATGGCGAGGAAGGTGAAGACGATGCTGCCGACCAGGTTGGGCAGGAGAGGCTGGCTGCAGTAGCGGGACGATCTGGGCCTGGGGAGCAAGTCAGGGTGTGGGGCCGTGTCCCTCTTCGGGGAGCGATGAGCACGGTCAGCAGAGCAGCAGGAGGCGCGGGGGCGGACTGGCCGCCTCGCTCAGGCCCAGGCACTCACCCCTGCAGCGGGCTGATACTGACACTGCCGAGTCGCAGTGACGGATCATGCTTGCTGCGTGTCTTGGCCTGGCCCACAGGGAGCCCTGGGAATCTCGGAGCAGGGAATTGGCCTGAGCGCCCCCAAAAAGCAGCTCAGGGTGGGAGCAGCCTCCTGCCAGCACCAGCTGCAGCCCCCCCTGCTGGCGTTCTACAAAGATTCTGCTGTGGGCACCATGATTCACGGGCAATGGGAAGGATTTCTGCAGGAGAACATCTCGCGGGCCAGAGCAGCGGTACAGCGCTGAGGTGCTTACTGCGCATGCGGCCAGCCCAGGTTTGATCCCAAGTGCTCCCAGGAGTCAGCCCTGGGCACTGTCAGATGCAGCTCAAAAGAATAAGACATTCCAGCTCTGCACCTCGAACCAGACTGTCCGCTCCCCCCGCCATCCTCCCCCTCCCCCCGCCTCCACTAGGGCGAGTTTCCTGCTGGGGACCAGTTCTCAGTGTCCGTCCCCTGGGCGTTTGTTCTTGCCTTACTGTGTTTCTTCGTCTTCTACCTGAGGGCGATCGTCCTCTGTCCCTCCCCTACTCTCACCCAGCTCTCACGTGCCTCAGAAGGCCCACCTGGAGGGCTGTGGTTTTGATGTCACTTGTTAGCAACTGATAGTGATTAAGCACCTTGGTGTGAGACTGGATGTCCAGTGTAGGAGCCGAGCGGACATGCTGGGTCATCTGGTGTCGTGTCTGCGTGGTCTGCAGGCAGTGGCTCCGGCGAGACCCTGGGAAGGACTAGGAAGTCCCTCCCCTGAGCTGTTTGGTCCTCACGTCTCCCTTCTCCCGCACTCATCCAGCCTCTCGCCCCTGCTGTTCCCACTGCGTCATGACCTCTGGAAGGTGACGCCCAGGAGTGGCGGCCAGGAAAGGGGCCAGAGTACTTACAAATAAAGGACATAGAGCTGCAGCGTCAGGGAGGCGAGCGCAAACAGGAACACCGTCACGTGGCTGCGGGCACGGAAGCGAGCAGTGAGTTTCTGTGGCTGGCTAGTGTTAACATGGGTTAACATGGGTGCAGAAACCACACTGTGCTTCGGTTTCTTGAGACCCTTTGGTTAGACCCCAGAGAGAAAGGGGGTAAATGGACAGAGGCTCCCCGGGCCCCCGTGGGTCCCCCAGCAGCCGCCGACCTCCCGTGAGGAAGAGTCAGTGACGTTGATCATCAGTGTGCATCCTACAGCTCTCCAGGGCCTGAGCTTCCCACACGTGGGGATGAGGCACGGGAGGGCGCCTGCCTTGCGTGCAGCCGACCCAGGCCTGATCCCCTGCGCCCCAGATGGCCCCCCGAGTTCCGCCAGAGCGATCCCTGAGCACAGAGAGAGGGGTAAGCCCCTGGTACTGCCAGGTGAGGCCCCAAAACCGAAGTGAAAAATGGGGTAAGGGGATCTGAGAACAGTGAAGTAGCTGGTTCAGGGACAAACACCGGTTGGAAGTTACAGACAGATTGGGGCCAGGTGTGGGGTCCCTGCCACAGCCCTCGGCTACTCACGCCACGTGTCAGACCAGCAGCGTGGTCGGCCCGCTTCCCGGCCAGATGGGGTCTGTGTTAGTGCTCAGAAAGCTGAGGCAGGACTGGAGCGATAGCACAGTGGGGAGGGCGTTTGCTTGGAACACGGCCGACCCGGGTTCGATCCCTGGCATCCCATAGGGTCCCCCGAGCACCGCCAGGAGTGATTCCTGAGTGCAGAGCCAGGAGTAACCCCTGAGCATCGCTGGGTGTGACCCAAAAAGCCAAAATAAAGGAAGGCCGAGGCTCCTCTGGGCGTGCCAGCTGGTCATCGCCACACACAGGAACTGCGTCTCCTCCTCGGGCTCGCCCCTGCCTTTCCCAACGGAAACTACTCACCCGGGCTGTGTTGCCGCTTGGGGTTAGAGCCCACGTGGCTATTTATAGAAGTCAAATCTATCTTACAAGGGCAGGGGTTTTTCCTCAATGAGAGGTAACTCAAAGGGAGAAAAAGACAGTTTCAAAACCTTCTGAATATTTAAGGCGAGAACATCATTAGAACCAAAAGTAATCACCTAATTCAAATTACTCTTTGCAGGGAATAGCTCCTTTTGTTAATTTTTTTTAAATTATTTTTTATAATGTAGGAGCACTGCTATTCAGCCATTGATTAAGTAGCTTCTTTTTTTTAGAAGTGAAAATTATGAACATTTGGCAAGTTCATCATTAGATTTAATTGTGAACATTCTGGAATGCGGCAAGAAAAGTCAAACAATATTAGGTTTGTTTGAGTTTTTTTTAAGTTTGCATTTAAAAAACTTAAGATTTACAAGCGACTTTATTTGTGTCTACGCATAAGAATTTTAGTTTTATTGGGACTGGAGAGATAGCACAGCGGGTAGGGCATTTGCCTTGCATGCGGCCGATCCGGGTTTGACTCCCAGCGTCCCATATGGTCCCCTGAGCACCGACAGGAGTGATTCCTGAGTGCAGAGACAGGAGGAACCCCTGTGCATTGCTGGGTGTGACCCAAAAAGCAAAAAAAAAAAAAAAAGAATTTTAGTTTATTTAACTTCTGGCTTTGAGATTACACTCGGCAAGCAGTTTCAAGGGCTACTCCCAGCTGAGTGCTCAGAGCATCTCCCAGTGATGCTCAGGGCACGGGGAGTCAAACCCAGGCCTCGTGCCTGTGCTCGGCCCATGAAACTGGCTCTGGCCCCAGCACAACCAGTGTTCCGCAGGTTGGCTGGGCAGCTAAAAGGCTTGGGGCGGGCGTTGGCCATGCACACTGTCGCCCGGGTTGGTCCCTGGCTCTCACGGTGTCCCCCAGGCCCATCAGGAGTGACCCCTGAGTGCTGAAGGAAGGAAGGAAATTTCTGGGTTTCTTTTTTTTTTTCCTCGGAGGGTGGGGGCCGAGGGGGGGTTCCCACCTGGTGGTGCTCAGGGATCACTCCTGGCTGTGCTCGAGGGACCAGAGGGGATGCAGGGATGGAACCCAGGGCCTCACCATGCTGTGGCTCCAAACCCTGAACGTTCTGCCGCCTTGGGCTGGGCCGGGCACTTACAGCCGGAGCCGGTGCGTCCTGGGCAGCCAGCAGTGTAGACGGCAGGCGGTGTGGGCCAGACAGAAGTGAATCATGCAGACGACGGGTCCGGGCAACGGAGGCGAGTGAGGAGGATCCACAGCAGCCGGCGAGAGCTTCCATGCGGCCTCTGCGTCCACAGCCCCGCTGGCCCCTCCTCTGGATCTGTCTGCAACGGGATCCGTGTTCTTTGAGTGCCCCTGGCTGTGCCAGAGCTCACCGGAACCCGACACTCCTGACCTCCGTGATCGGGCTGTCTCGGCCCCAGGTGGCGGATAGGACGGATGTGGGAGTCGGCCTGGATGTGGCAGGGAGAGCCCCGCGACTGAGCAAATGGAGAGATCAGTTTCCCTCATTGCTCCCCGAGCAGCACCTCGGTAGCCCCGGGCCTGTTTTTGGTGCTCCCTGTGGCATACCTCTAGGGAGGCAGGTGTAGGGGGGGAAGGGAGGACCCCCCCAGAAGCCCGAGGATGATTTGAAAGGGGGCTCAGGGGACTTGCTCGGGCGATGGACAGCGTGTCAGTCTTGTGGCCTGCCTGTGGCACTCTCCCTGGTGACATTCCTTCCTCCCTATTTCCTTCACTGTTGTCGTGGCGGGGGTGGGGGGGAGGGGACTGTCACGCCCTAGCACCCTCTCAGCCGGGATGCCCACTGCCCTTGGCATTCCTGACGCAGTACTTGTGTGTGTGAGTCTTAGTGAAGATGCACGGTTTGTGGGTCACACTTCAAGGCTGTGGTACTCAGCCATCTTCTTAAGCGCCACACTAGCTGCAGGGACTGGGGGGTGGGGTGAGGAGGGAATTGCACATCATTTGGCCAGAAATGGCTGCTAGCACTGAGATTGCAAACGGCAGGGCTGCCTGTGGTATCCTTATGGTATGTGGGGTGCCAGGGCTTCAAACTCATGCCCCTTTGCGCGCAAGGCAGACACGCTGTGCCACTGTGCTCTTTCCCTGGACTCCTGTTGAGCTAAAAATGTTTAGAAGGATGGAGTAATTGTACAGTGGGTAGGGCACTTGTCTTGCACACCGCTGGCCTGGGTTTGATCCCTGGCACCCCATATGGTCCTCCAAGGCCGCCAGGACTAAGCCCTGGGCATGCTGGGTGTGGCCTAGCAACAAAACAAAGTTACTCGGATGTTATGCCATCTTCACGGAACTATCAGGATAAATGCTAATGAGAAAGGCTGGGTGGGTGGCTCGCCCGTGAGTGTGGCGGCCTGAGTCTGTCCCGTGGCTGTTGGGAGCCGTCTAGTCGCAGGGCTGGAGGCGTCTATCCTGCTGCTGTGACCTTCCTGGGCTCACTCTCAAGGCAGAGCAAGTGTGGGCAGGCAGACGGGGCTTGCACCAGGGGAAGGAGCAGGCATCTGTGTGGGCACGTGCACCCGTGCCCCCCGGTGCCATGCCTGAGTGTCCCCCCTCCTCTCCTGCCCACCCACAGCTGCACTCCCGCCATGGAGGATGCAGAGAAGACGGAAGTGGTCCTCCTCGCGTGCGGCTCCTTCAACCCCATCACCAACATGCACCTCCGACTGTTCGAGCTGGCCAGGGACCACATGAATGGGACAGGTGGGCCGGGCAGAGACTCGGGAGACAGTGGAGGGAAGGGCCCCTCTAGAATGGGTCACCTGTGGCAGTTCCCTGTGCCCAGAGATGGGCCGTGTCCCCAGATCTCTGTGCTTCCCATGGCCAACCGCAAACAAATGACAGCTCGGTCCCCCAGCACCCCTGGGAATGACACTGAGCCAGAGAACACAGAGTGGCCCGAACACGGCTGGGGTGGCCTCACACCAAAACAGGTTATGGGACCGAGCGCCAGTACAGTGGGGTGGCTCTTGCCTGGCACACGGCCAACCCAGGTACCACGTCTGGTACCATGCATGGTACTCTGAGCACCAGGTGTGGCCCCAAGTTAAAAAAAATTTTTTTAAGATTAAAAACTGGGGCCGAAGAGGTGGTACAGTGGGGAGGGTATTTGCCTTGCACATGGCCGACCTGGATTCGATCCCTGGCATCCATTTGGTCCCCCGAGCACCACCAGGAGTAATTCCTGAGTGCAAAGCCAGGAGTAACTACCCCTGAGTATCACCGGGTCTGGATCCCCCCAAAAAGAACAATGTAAAAGATTAAAAGCTGAGGGAAAGGGGAAGCTGCGTGGTGGGGGGTGGAGGTTGGGGTTTAAAAACCAAAAGCGGGGGCTGGGGAGATGGCACAGCGGGTAGGGCGTTTGCCTTGCATGCGGCCGACCTGGGTTCGATTCCCAGCATCCCATGTGGTCCCCTGAGCACCGCCAGGAGTTAACTCCTGAGTGCAGAGCCAGGAGTAACCCCTGAGCATCGCCAGGGGTAACCCAAAAAGAAAAAAATAAAGCGGATGGGAGGGCATGAAGCGGGCACCCCTGCCCCGTCTCCACGCGGTGCCATTGATTGCGTGTCTGTCCTCAGGAAGGTACCAAGTGGTCAAGGGCATCATTTCTCCCGTCAGCGACGCCTACCGGAAGAAAGGGCTGGTGGCTGCGCGCCACCGGGTGGCCATGGCTGAGCTCGCCACCCAGAGCTCCCAGTGGGTGACAGTGGACGCCTGGGAGAGTCTCCAGAAGCGCTGGACGGAGACGGCGCAGGTGCTGAGGTGCCTGGGCAGGGGGGTGGGGGGCCGGGCCTCGGTCCCGCAGGGTGGGAGGTTTGCCCCCGCCTCCCTGCATGTGGCTCTTCCCTGGCATGGAGCCCATGGGACCTCGTGGCCTGGTGCCATTTGCACACTCGTCACTGCGTCCCGTGTCTGTGGCCACCTGTCCGGCAGGGCACAGCTCTGGCTTCCCCAGTGTAGGAGTCAGCTGACCCGGGAGGTGACAAGGGACCGGGTGGGGGCAGGGCGCGTGCGGTTGCCCTCTCAGAATGCAGGTTCACACCCGCCCCCACACTCAGACCGTGAGACATGGTGTGATGCCGGAACCAGAGTGTTTGCATGTCTACGTGTGCACCTGCGTGAGAACAGTGTGTGTGAGCACGTGTGCACGCCTGTGTGTGCGCGCGCCTACGTGAGAGCAGTGTGTGCTTTGTGTACGTGTGCATGTGTGCACTTGTGGGAGAGTAGTGTGTGTGAGCACGTGTGTGTGCGTGCATGCGTGTGTGCACCTACGTGAGAGCAGTGTGAACATGTGTGTGTGTGCGTGTCCGTGTGTGCACCTGCGTGAGAGCAGTGAGTGCATTGTGTGCGTGCACATGGGTGAGGATGTGTGCGCACGAGTGTGTGTGTGCTGGGGGTTGGCAGCTGTGCCAGTAGGCTCTCTGGCACAGGGACTTCGCAAGGGCACTTTGTGGCAATGGGCTGACTCCCGACCTTCAGCTCAGCCCGGCTGGTCGCGGCCCCCATAGGCCAGAGCCCAGAGCCCAGCGAGGTTCTGGTCCCCGTTTTCGGGGCCCCTCGTCGTCGTCGTCCGCCCTTGGCCTTGGCCTTGACCGTGGCTCTCCCTCGGCCAGGCTGCACTCCGCAGCACTGACGCTGGAAGCAACTGGCCGGGCGTGCCCCCACCTGCCTTTTTCGGCCCCGAGACCCCTGGGCAGAGGGACGGCAACTCGGAGGCGTGCGGGAGAAGCCACATACGTGTGCTTTGCCCTTTCACAGGCACCATCAGGAGAAGCTCCAGGCCAGCCACCAGGAAGACCAGCTGGACTCGCCTGTGCTGGAAAGGCCTGGACGGAAGAGGAAGTGGGCTGAAGAGAGACAGGATCTAAGTCCAAAGAAGGCCCTGGAGCCCCCCAGAAAGGGTCTGTATGTTCCCGGGGAAAGCAGAGTTGACCAGACAGGGCTGATGAGTCTAGGGCTGGGCAAGTGCCTTGGTTCCCATTTCTTAATGAGTGTGTGGGGGGTGAGGAGAAGCTGTCACCTGATGTCCCCGGGGGCGGGTGGGAGCGTGCGGGAAGCCCCGAGCCTATTCTGCAGTAGCCTGCCTGCCGCCCTCCCTCCCTCCCTCCATCCTTCCTTCCATACTTCTTTCCTCCCTCCCTCCCTCCCTCCCTCCATCCTTCCTTCCATACTTCTTTTCTTCTTTCCTCCCTCCCTCCCTCCCTCCCTTCTTCCCTCCTCCCTCTTCCTTCCCTCCTTCACTCCCTCCCTCTTTCCCTCCTCTTTTCCTCCTTCCTTCCCTCCCTCCCTTCCTCCCTCCCTCCCTCCCTCCATCCTTCCTTCCTTCCATACTTCCTTCTTTTCTTCTTTCCTCCCTCCCTCCCTCCCTCCTTTCCTTCTTCCCTCCTCCCTTTCTTCCCTCCTTCCCTCCCTCCCTCTCTCCCTCCCTCCTTCCTTCCCTCCTACTCTCTTGCACCTTCTTCTCCTCCCCCACTTTTCTTTTCCGCCTTCCCTCCTTCCTCCTTTCCTTCCATCCTTTTCCGTCCCTCCCTCCCTCGCTCTCCCGGGCTGATCACAGCTCCTCTCCCAGGTGCGCCCCGGGTGAAGCTGCTGTGCGGGGCAGATCTGCTGGAGTCCTTCGGGGTCCCGCGCCTGTGGAAGAGCGAGGACATCGCCCTCATCGTGGGCCACTACGGGCTTGTGTGCGTCACCCGGGCCGGCAGCGACGCCCAGAAGTTCATCTACGACTCGGAGGTGCTGTGGCAGCACCGCCACAACATCCACCTGGTGAACGAGTGGGTGACCAACGACATCTCGTCCACGCGCATCCGCCAGGCCCTGCGCCGGGGCCAGAGCATCCGCTACCTGGTGCCCGACCCCGTGCGGGACTACATCGCGCAGCACGGCCTGTACAGCCACGAGAGCGAGGAGCTGAACGCGGGGCTCACGCTGGCCCCGCTGGAAAGGAACGCCGCCCCCTCCTAGGCGGCGGGCGTGCGGCACACGCTAGAGCTTTCCGGAGGAGAAACGGGGGCCGGAGCGACGGCACAGCAGAGCAGGCGCTGGCCTGGCCTGACCGCGGCCTGTGTCGCCCCCCGAGCCCCCCGGAGAGATCCCTGAGTGCAGAGTCGGGAGTCAGCCCCAAGCCCCGCCGGGTGTGGCCCAGAAACCAGGGTCCCGGGCCTTGCTGAAGACCCCCCCCCAACAACAGTGCCTCGTCCCAGGATCCAGTGCGAGAAGCGACTTTGGAAGGCCCCTCCCGCCCCCCCCCCAACCCGCTGCCGGGCCCCCGCTCGTGGGGGCCGACTGTGCTCACCACTTGCAAAAATTTAAGCAGCCGGGAGCCCCCCACCCCCACCCCCGGGTTCTCAGCTTTTCTCTGATTGGTCCTTTCAGATAAACATGACCAAAGCAGAACGGAGGAAGAAAGCCAGAGCTTCGAATGCGAGAAACATCTGTCACGTGGTTTGCTACTGATTTAAAAAAAAAACGGTGGCAGCTTTAGCCAGTCGAAATAGCCAGGAGACCCAGGAGTTTCTGTGAGAACAGCGTGAGATTGGGGACCCTGGTGCGGTGCCGGGGACAGGGCCACGTGCGGTTTCCAGGGCCCTTTCCCTTCTGCAGCCTCGACCCCTGCCTCCCCGTGCTCCAATCCTTGGCAGCTGCAGAAGATAAAATGCGCCCACGGCAGCAGCCGTGCTGGAACCGTGGGGTGACACTGCCATGCGCCCCCATCCCAACGGCCCCTTCGGAGAGGGGGCCCTCTCCTCGACCCCTCTGCCTTCCCTTGCTCGGCCTTGGGTCAGAGCCGTCCTGCAAGAGAGCCCTCGAGACGCCGGAGAGGCCATCGCACTTGAACTGATTCTCTGGGAAGAATTGGTGCCTTGTTCATTCCCTTGAAGAGTTGTAGGAGCCAGAGTCGAGCGTGAGGGTCTCTCTCGGCCGCGCCTCCTTACCGAAGAGGGGCCCTGCCCGCCCCGCTGTACCCCAGCCGCGCCGTCTCCTGTCCTTTGTGGCCGGACAGCGCCTTCGCACCTGGTCCAGGCCGCTGGCTCTCCTCTGACACTCCCAGCGTTATTAGTGGAACAGGGAGCAGCCTCCAGGACAGAAGCTCCTTCGGGAACAACGGAAACCAGAGCACCGCCTCCAAGGGGAACAGTAACAAATCCCACGGCTCCCAGAGGAAGGAGCAGGCCGCGGGGCCTCGGTCCCGGGACTCAAAGGCCTGGCACCGCAAGCTGCGTTTGGGTTTGTTCTTGTTTGGGCGGGGAGGGCCGCCCCCAGAAGTGCTCAGGGCAGATTCGCGCTCTGTGCTCAGGGATCACTCCTGGCAGGGCTCAGGAACTGTGTGTGCTGCCAGGGATTGAACCCGGGTTGCCGCGGGCGAGGCAAGTGCCCTGCCCGCTACGTCTCTCTCTGGCCCCAAGTTTGATTTGCTTTTGCTTTTGCTTTTCTTTTTTTCTGTTTTTGGGCCACTCCCAGCAGTGCTCAGGGGTTACTTCTGGCTCTGTGCTCAAGGATCACTCCTGGAGGTGCTGGGGGGACCCTATGAGATGCCGGGGTTCGAACCCAGTGCAAAGCCAGAATTCTCTGTGTGTAAGGCCGGTGCTTTCTGGGCTTTAGCCACCCCCATCCCCCCCCGCCACTCCCCCTCCTGTCATTTCCCTCCAGCCAAGGAGCTCTCAGGAGAAGCCCTGGTGGCACTGCCTTCAGCTGAGCGTGGGGCGGGGGGTGTCTTGGGGGGCGGATGTAAATCCGGAGCCCCTGAAGCTCGTCTCCTGGCATCGAAGGATGCACTCTGCTCTCTCTCTTGGGTCACTAGAAGGGTGCAGGAAGCCTGTTTGCCCCCCCCCCACATGTCCACACAGGGGCAGGGCAGCCCCTGGGGATCACGAGCCCCCACTGATTTACTTCTGGAGGTCAGAAGTCTGTGTCTTGAGTTGGACCCCGCTAAACACGGAACCTCGGTGTCCTGGGGCCTCTCATCGCTCCCAGGGCCTCCGGCCCACTGACCTTGGGAACTCTGACCCCTGACCTCTGACCTGATGAAACTGGGCACTTCCTAGAGCGTTTGGGAACAGCCAGACACGGCCTGGAGTGGACAGTCTCTTTCCAGAACTGCCCTCTTGGCCTCTGTCTTAGATGACTCTCAGAGCCACGCCCCCTCCCCTTCTGGCCACCCAGAGTGGGCGGTGTGAGGAGAGGGGACGGGGTCCTGCCCACCGTGGGGCTGGCCCAAAGCGGGCAGTGATGACCCAGGTAGACCTGGGCGGAGCGGAGGAAGGAGCCCGAGCGGGGTTTTCCTTCCGCCCCCCGGCCCGGGCTCCTCTGGAGTGTTTGCCTGTTCGCTGCTTCACAGTGGGGGCGACAAGTGCCGTGAGCAGGGGCACCGTTTTGCCAGACGCATCTCCCACTCCCCAGAGCCGGCCAGTGGGGCGCCGTTGGGGGACGGGGCCCCTCCGCTCCTGTCTTTGGTGGCACTTGTCTCTCCACTTCCTCGCCCACCACCCACAGGACTCCCTGGATGTCGCTACCAGGGGTCCCCTGGAGGCTCCCACACCCTCATCTGATCAGCCAATTCACAGGAGAACTCAGCTGGGGGCCTCGGGTCTCCCTGGGATCCCGGCGTTCTGGGCCGTGTGGGCTCACTTTGGGGATGTTCCTTTTCCTGTGCTCGCAGTCGGACCTCTCGAACTCTCAGCACTTCCTGCTTCTTGGAGAAACGGGGCTCAGTTGGGGGGGAGCGGCTCAGTGCCCTCAAAGGAATCTTTCCGCAGTCTTCCTCTGCATTCCTCTTGCTGAACCGACTTGGATTTCTCTCTTACTGCCGAGATGCCCGACTGTGTCGATGCTGGTCTGGGAGCAGAACCTCTCCCACTCCTGAAGCGCTACAGGTCATCTCGCTGCCAGAGAACTGCCCTGCCCAGCCCCTCCCCGCCGCTCAACTCGGGCCCATTGTGGGGGGGGGGCCGGGGGGGTCCCCACACAGGTGCCCAATTTTTAACTCTTCCTCCAGTGGATGCTTAGGCTGCTTCTGGGGCACTTCCTGTCACAGGGCCCTTCCGGTTCCATGTTGGCAAGCGTCCCCTTTTCCCTTGGGCACCACAGCCTCTTTATCCATTCACCTGTTGTCGGACTGGGCGAGGGGTGCTGCCGGGCACATAGATACGAGAGATGGTTTCTTCAGAGATCTGAGGCTCCACGGCGGCCTCTTCCCTCCCCTGGTGGGCCCCGGGCTGACTGCAACGAATAGGCAGATCCTAGACTTCGGTGTTCGTCCTTTGCTCTGCTCACGGATGATCCAGCCTCCATTATTGGGCTGGGGCTTATCACCACACTTAGGGCAGCCTAGTATATCCATAGTTCTGTACCCGCAGGAGGACTCCTGAGTTCTCCCCCAGGGGTGGCCCACAAACCCCGCCACCCCCATGTTGTTCATGATTCGTCTTGCTTTGCAAGACTCACGCATTTCAAAGTGTCGGTTTCTGCTCTTCTTGAGAGACGGGAAAGTGAAAACATTCCGATATTCAGTTTCAAAGTATAATCCAGAGTTTAGTTTCCATCTGGTAATTTTTGTTGGCGATGGGTTTGGAGGCCACATGCGAGGGCCCGCTATCCAATGTGGGCACCGGGGATCAGAGCCCTGCATCAGCCCATTTCTTGTAAAGAAACAGGCTGGAGAGGAGGTGGAGAGAAGGGACTTGCCTCACCAACGGCAGGTCCTGGAATCCCCAGTGGGGTTCCCCGAGAACCACCAAGTATGGCCAAGAAAACAAGGGGCTGGAGAGGGGAAGCATTTGCCTAGCACACAGCTGACATCATTTGATTTGTCGTCGTCTCTGGTCCTCTGAGCATGGCCAGGCGTGATCCTGGAGTACAGAGCCAGGAGTAACCCCTGTTTTGGGGGGTGGCCAAAAACAAGCAGAAAAAAAACCTACTTGAATCACTTGTAATATTTAAATGTGACCAATAAAAATAAGCTAGCAAGTTCATTGTGAGACCTTGAGTTTGTAAGAGAATCCTAGATCTTGTGAATAAGCCTCTCAATAGTTTAGAGTGTTTATTTCTAAGCCGATTCCAAAGTGTCATCAGTTAGCTGGCAAATGGGCTCTTTGGCCACTCTGGCGAAGTCGCAGGCCTTCTCGAGGTAGTTCTGGGTGTGAGTGGGTGTGAGCGTATATGGGATCAAACTCGGTCTCTGAGCTACATCCCGAGCCCTAGAGTTACTTGATATTATAGAAATATCCTTCCTGATCCAGAGAAAGGTCCCTCGTGAGTTCACAAGGTAAAGTGGGCTGTGCGATGAGTGCATTGGTGAGAGCCGTTTCCAGGCCGCCTCAGCAGAGAAACAGTGGTGGGGACCACAGCCTGATGGTGAAAATGGCCCATCTAATGCAGAGCTGCTAGCCTTCTTAACGGACATCGGAGGGAGGTTGAGGTCCAGGACTTAGGTGTGATCGTTTACATAGGTAAGACGTCTGGAAATCTAGGTACATCATTCACATAGATAAGACAGGAAATTCTCTTGGGGAGACACTGTCTCCCAGGGACATCTACATTGCTTTTTTTCTTTCCCTCTAGATGTGTAAGTTATCAATACTTTCAGTTGTTTGGATAATCACAGTAAAAGACAAAGATCCCAATACCGAGTTCTCTGGGCTCCTGAGAGCGAGCAGGGCTTTTACCATAGATCCCAGACCAAATCCTCAGGCCAGTTCAGCCTGTCCTTCCCCATGGGGGTCCTGTCTCTTAAGTCATAACGGCTTACATCAAGACCATGCATTTAGACTTTCTAGACTGTCCCATTTCGATGCTGGGGTAGTTTTGCCATTCCCTCAGGTCCATCCCAGTCCCATGGCAGGACCTCCCTTTTGGGATGTTAGGAACTACAACAACTGAAGCCTGAGTCAGTAATTATGACCAGTGGCCAGGAATAGATATGTTTCACAGTCAATCAACTACCGAATATTAGAAGCACAGCATCAGCGGTCTTTCTGTGTT